CCACCGAACTATGACAAACAATGAGTCACCCTTTACTACCTTTGCTTTGAACCATTTAGTGTGCCGGTTAACCACACACGCTCCACTAACGTCTTCGCAAGGGCACAAAGTGTAATTTCATGGAATTGCATCAATTCACTTTTGCCTAAAGTAACTAAGATTGGGAATTTTGTATAAGACTTTTAGTTACTTAATACTTCATTATACTTTTAATGGAAAGGGTTTGCCCTATCCTACCCGTTCGGCTAACGACCCTCCACTAGTCAAGAGTGCGGTGGGTAAGAGTGGATACCCATTCAATCGCCATTTTATAGGCAATTTCCTTAAACACCCCTTATAGACTAGCTTCGTGAATGAGGCCTACTAACGGTAAGACTGACTGTTTACTTATACATATATATAATACTAGACTTTTAATGTTATATATAGTATAGGGTGTATTTTACACTTTTAAAATACTAGGTGGTCTAATTTAATAAAACATACTTTTAATTTAATTAAATGTAAACCATATCACTATGGATTTATTAACTCCCTTTAATTATACACTTAATTAATTTAATAAAACCATAAGGGTGTGATTTGAACTTTTCAAAAAACAATACTAGGGTTTTAGAATCTAACATTTCTAAATTAAACTTTTAATCAACTTTTAAATTCCAAAACTTGAGGGCAAGTTTTGAAACATTTCAAAACATTAGGGTTTAGAATTTAAATATTTCAAATCAAACCTTTTAATCAAAATTTAAATTCCAAAACTTGAGGGCAAGTATTTGAAACATTTCAAAAACACAAGGATCAAATAGCAAATAATTTAAATTAAACAATTAATTTAATGATTATCTAAATTTGACCTAATTTCAATTTCTTGCAAGATAAGTTACCCAATTAATACAAATAATTAATCTTTAATCATATAAGGAAGTTATTATCTAATCAATTGGTAATTATCTTTTGTTTAATCAAGGATATTCTCAAATATAAGATAAAATTCGAATATTAAAGACCCAAAACAATTAAGGCAAGTATCCTCAAGCAAAACAGCAAGAAATCCCGAATTTCCCTCTTTCTGACGCTCGAACTCGCCGAGTTCCTCTATGGACTCGCCGAGTTGGAGCAACTCGCCGAGTCCACATTGGAACTCGCCGAGTTCATCAGTCAGGGAGCCAAAAAATCGATTTTGAAGCTTGAACAAATAACCAAGGCATCAATACAATAGAAACCAATCAAGTCTCTGATACCACTGATGGGTTTTAGCCATAAGAACATCCTATGTGCTCATGCAAACCCTAATGCTTGGATCTAGGTTTCTCTATTGTACATGCATTCATCCAAGACTATAAACCCTAGATCTAGCATGTGATAATCAATATTAACATATGAATTAGGGTTTAGATCATACCTTGATTGTTATGTAGCAATAACAATCTCAAATCCTCCTTGTAATGGCTTTAGAAAGCTAAGAGTCACAAGTGTCACTCCTCTAATGGCTCACAAACACCAAGAGCAAGAGGATGAAGAATGAAGAGAGAGGAGGCTGCCCAAAACGTCCAGAAACCCTAGTGGAACTCTTAGCCACGTTTTTGGGGCTTAAGGGTACTATATATATATATGTAGGCTATTAGGGTTTTCAACTAGGAAACCCTAATCTGACTGCTTAAGCCCTAAGCAGCCCATGGACCCTTTTAGAATATCCCTTGGGCGATTTCTAATGGGTTTCCCCATAGAATTCGTCCAACCTATTATTCCAAGGTGATCCATAGCCCAAATGCAATTATCTTATAATTACAGTTCCAGTCCCTTAAGTTTAATTAATCTCTTTTAGCCACAAAATTAATTCTTGACTAATATTAATTAAACAATATGATTTCTCCTTTAATATATTATTCTCATAATATATTAATAAATCATAATTAATCCTTTCTCTCCATAATTCATCCTATCAAGTTGCTTTGGTGAAGGCAACCCAAAAGGACCATGCACCATCGGGTCAAGTACATACCAAAATAGTTATGGACTTAGACACTAATCCAACACTTGATACCTCAAAAGTTTCACAAATAGGGTGATGATTCTGGATCTATAGGTTCCTCACCAAACAAATCACCTTCAATCTTCTTTACTTCCTTCACAAAGGGCAAAATAACCACCAAAATCTTCTCAAGAGCTCAAAAACACCACAAAGAAGGCTTGAGGGTTGATTTAGGGTTTTAGGAGGTTTGGGGGCTGGTAAAGAGGCCATCCATAGAGACTTAAGGTCCTTAAATAGGGTACAACACACTTAAAATTAGGGTTCCTTGCACTCATCGTACGGCCAACGTACTCCTCGTACACCCGCGTACGAGGCCTCGACCTCGCGAACATTCCTTCTTGGTACGCTAAGCGTACACCAGTGTATGCCCCGCGTAATGCATTTTGCACTAGTACGCCCCACGTACTCCCTATGTACGCCCCGCGTACTAGGGTTACCCTTAAACCCTAAACTACTCCAAAGGCCATAACTTCTTCATTATAAATCCGATTTCGACGATCCTTATATCCACGAAAAGGTAAAGAGAAGCTGTACGCTTTTATAAAATCATACGCGCCTTAAGATTTCCCCAAAAAAAACCAATTTTCATAAAAGCCCGAGCTGACACTTTAGCAGAATACCACTTGGCTCCAAAACACAAACCGAACACCCGGATCATCTAGATTATGTAACCCACACCCAAATGGGAAACGATTTAGGACAGGACATTACACATAAATAAAGATCAATCTATTGGGAGTAAAATTCGGTTGATTTGGATCCGCTTCCACTTTTAAAGTTGGAGAAGTTTTAAAAGCATGAGTTTGCAAGGTACTATTGACGGATTTTCCCATAAACAAGCCACACTTTTTGCAATAGAGTTTTTCCTCGCCACTAGATATTTCACACAAATCATAATGCTCCCGATCACCCTTAGCCCGATTAGTATGCAAGATTTTCATCACAACATCGTTCAAATATTGAGTGGTAGAATTTCCCGAACTCATTTTTAAAGAGTATTAAAGAACTAGAGAGAAGTGTTTATGTTTGTGTTGTTGAAAACTAGCATCTAACATCTATTGGCAAAAAGGTCGAGAAAAATTAAACTAGCCTTTTTGGCCGTTTTCCACAGAAGATTCAAATTTTACCGTTTCCAATGGGCAGGAAAAAACCCGTATTCAAACAGGATTTGGATCCGGGTTTTAGCCAAACCGGTTTACGATTTGGGGTCCGATCCGATTTCTAATATGGATTCTCAAACCGGTTTCTATCCAGTATAACGGTTTATCCAATCCAATTCGGTCAAAACCGATTTTGACAAAATACAGTATAACGGTTTATCCTATCTGATTTGGATAACTTTTTTATTGATTAGATCATTTGACCTTTAATTCATTTGGGCCGTAGCTATTGGGTTATTTAAAAAAGGAAAAGTAAAGCCCATTTTGTTTTTGTCTGGGTTTACGTGTGCAGTACACAAACAATAAATAATAGAGTAAATTACAAATATGGTACCTATACTTTACTCACAGCTTCAATTTTAGTTTTTTTGTTGAAAAATTCCCAAAATCATTCTTATTTTTTATTTCTATTTGGCTATTGTCGCCAAGACTTTTATATCCTTTTCTAGAATTTGTAATTAGTAATTAGTGGTTAATATATCATGAACCATTTGAAATTATCTTTTTCTAGATAAGTAACATGGTGAATCCTATCAAATATCTTGTCAAAAGAAATACCCACAATTAAATGAAAAGAAATACCCACAATTAAATGAAGTTCAAGTCGCTACTACATATTTGTAGTTTCTATGACAATATAGTTAAATTTCCATTTCTTTTTATTTAACAACTCTCCTATCATTCTAACAGGATCACCCATGACTTTGCAACATAGACACCCATTATTAAACATGAAAAGTGACAATGTCTTCAACTCCAACATATTTTGTAGCAACTAAAGACCCATCAATGTCCACCTCCCATGCAAATTTAATACAAAGAATAAATCAAATACACAAATACCAACTTAAAAGGGTTGAAAATATATACATGACTACATGAGCTATGATATAAACAGTTAAAAAAAATACGAAAACCAAAATATGCAAAACTAATTTTATTGTATGAAATCAAAGAGGAATTCGATAGTACCTCATTCTTGATAACTCCAATCCATTTACCATGATCAACTGAAGTATATGGTCAAATAATGTTGTCTGATCATCGAACATGAAGAAATAATTATTAGCTAAAATGTTCATTTTTTTTTAAACATCTAAAAAATCAAGATAATGTGAGCTTGTGTTATAAATTCATAGTACACTATGGTGGCATCAACATCATAGAAACTGATTCAGTTATACAAAGAAATGATTACGTTTTCTGAATCTAAGAAACCGGTGATGATCGTTGCTAGAATTTGATTGTCGGGAGGAATGTATCTGAATTGTTGTCTAGAGATAATAAAATAATATACCTTTGCTATTGTATTTTATATTTTTAATTTTGTAATCAATACATGTTTTAATAAATATAGTATTTGAATTTTATGTAATATTCGCATATATATAGTATTTGAATTTTATGTAGACTTATCTTGATGAAAACAATTATGTGCTTCAAGTTAATGCATCTAATTGTTGATAAGGATTACGAGTTATCCTAGTAAATTTGAATTTCAAACGATGGTCATCTATTTTGTTAATAATACTACAAAATTTGATTCAAATGTCATATAAAATACAACTATAACTACATAATAATAAAAGTAGATTATTTATAAAAAAAATACGTAAATAAAGTCCTGAAATTACATTGCATATAAAGTAATAATAAATTGAGACACGTTAAAAACCTTATCAAGGCTTTTATTATTAGCTAGGACTCTAGGTTAATTTATTAAAAAATAATGATGATCTTTAAAAAGTAGAAATCTATAATATCACATGACATGGGTAATGTTCTAGACTAAAGCGTGTGTATTTAAAGACTTGTTTTATTCGTAATTTTGTTGCATTTACTCCACATTTTTAATATCGACCCAATTCCGTGTTTCAGCAATCAGCAAACCAACAACAATACACATCGCTTCTCTTTGCTGCAAAAAGAAAAACCTCTTTTCTCCCTCGATCGTATCAATATGGCGACGATCGGACACAATAATCTCAACGCAAAATTGGTAACTGAACTCCATCATCATCACTCGTTCTATTCCTGATTTGTTCTATTGCTTATGTTTGTTTGAAGCTTCAAGTTGCGCGATGATTTGTAGGTTTTGCTTGGGGACATGGGAGCTGGTAAATCAAGTCTCGTGTTGCGATTCGTCAAAGGCCAATTTCTAGAATTCCAGGTTTGATTTTTGATTATCTGACTTTTCTCCTCTTTTTTTCGTTGACTTTCTAGGGTTTGAACTTGGTGGTGGTTTCGGTTGTTGATTTCATCTGTTTGGTTGTTTTGGTGATAGGAATCGACGATCGGAGCGGCGTTTTTTTCGCAAACCCTAGCAGTGAATGATGCAACGGTGAAATTCGAGATCTGGGATACGGCGGGTCAAGAAAGGTATCATAGTTTGGCTCCTATGTACTACAGGGGCGCTGCAGCGGCAATCATTGTCTACGATATCACTAGCGCGGTAATTTAAGCCTACTAGAATCTTGTTCATATCTGGTTTCCTTTTTATGAAATTGAACTGTGGAATCTTCATAACTGATCAGTGGATCGTTCATATGGCTTGTTGAAGTTTGAATTTTGGTGATTTGTAGTAGTTGAAACTTGATAGGATATAGATTGTTACTAAGAACACTTAACTGAGTTCAAATATAATGAGAGTCCATGTTTCTTTTTACAGTAGTACTTAATATGGAATCATGTTTGATTTTGCAATGAATCAAGGGATAATAGGAATGCAATTACTAACTTTAGTATTTAGGTAATTCTTAGCATATCTTACTAGTATTTCAGTTCGGATCACTGACTTTCACTAACAATTGTAGATATATTTTGATTCCCACTAACTTATGAATGCATGGGTTTTGGCCTTCTATTGCCTCTATCAATTTCTGTACTGATTGTTGTAAGTTAATAAAGTTAAATGTTTATCTGTAATACCAACATCTTAATGCAAGTTTCTTAGTAGTATCACACTCTCACAAACTGGTTTGTTCTTTATTTGTAATTTCTTCTAATTTCTCTTATGTTTTCGGAAACTAAATTCACTTTCTGTTTTCCTGACTATTTTTAGGATTCATTTACACGGGCTAAAAAGTGGGTTCAAGAACTTCAAAAACAAGGTGAGCAGATATCATCAACCACTTTGGGTTTCACTTCCTCCATAAATCTTTCAACCTTAATTCCATATTTTTTTATCTTCTTTTTCTTCATTGTTCAAAATCTTGAATGAAGTCATATTTCATTGTGTTGGTGGTGTAGGTAATCCAAACATGGTAATGGCACTTGCTGGAAATAAAGCTGATCTTGAAGACAAGAGGAAAGTAACAGCAGAAGTATGTACCCTTTTTCCTTATTTTTTTCTTGCTAAATTTACTCCAAGGATTATTAATATTAGGAGAAAGAAAAGTTTATTTCTTTATTTATAAACATATTGACTCTATTTATGATATGCAGGAGGCACGTGTATATGCTGAGGAGAATGGACTTTTTTTCATGGAGACATCTGCTAAAACTGCTGCTAATGTTAACGATGTATTTCATGAAATTGGTAAGCTTTAAAAACTTGTGCTTTTTAATTTAAATTAAAAAATATATATTTGGGTTTTATTTATGATATAATAATTATTGTGTTTGAAACAGCCAAGAGATTGCCTAGAGCTCAGCCTACTCAAAATCCAGCAGGAATGGTTCTTGTTGATAGACCAGCTGAAGGAGCTCGTGCTGCATCTTGCTGTTCATAAGTAATGTTTTTAAATTCTTCTTCATTCATATCGTTTGTAGTTGCTTTTTTCTTTTTTAATGTGTATTTGCCATTGAATGATTACGGGAATAGCATGGAAATTTGATGTCAATAAAATGTTAAAGGTGTAAGTTGTTCCTTTTGGTTATGATGATTTCAGATTAAAATTGAACATATGATGTTATACTTAACAAAATGCCTAAAAAGAACTCACACGTGGTGTCATTTGAAAGAATTAGTATTTGGGTATAAGAAGGTGTTTTGTATATGAAAATTTTATTATTTACCAATAAAAACAAGTAAATAAATAAGTAAAAGGTTTATCTATTATTTATTAATTAATTAAAGCAAAGTAAATAAAAAAAGTTTATTTATTAGAATAAATAAATGAGTTCCTTTAATAAAGTTGATTAATTATTTAATATAATTAATTATGAAAGGTTTACTAACTTAATGATTTTAATGGAATTGAAAAGTACATCCATTAGGGAGGAGGAGGAGGAGGAGGAGGAGGAGGAGGAGGAGGAGGAGGAGTAGTTCTCTCCCAACCCACCGAACCCACTGCCACATCAGTTTTTTTCTTTTATTTTTCTTCATCTTTCCCAAGCCACAACATACAGAAACCCTATCTTTTTCAACCCATTCAATTAAAAAAAAATACAAAACAATCACGGTAAAATCTTAATTAGCAATAGAGTTACCGCCGGTACCACTCTCTCTTCAGCGAGCTGTTTAATTGGTTTCGCTAACCTACTTTATCCTCTCTCAACTTTATCTCTCTCATTTTCTCTTCTACCATATATTTTAAAACTTGTACCTTAGTTGTTTTATATATATTTTTAATTGAGTGGGTTGAATGGAGAGAAAAAAATTGATGTAAAGGTGGGTTCAGTGGGTTGGGAAGGAATGACTCCCTCCTCCTTTAGAATTCAATTTATGAGAAAAGGATCAATGGATGTCAAGGGGGGCAAACGGGACAAGGGTTGCATCCCTATCCCCGCCCCCGATTGATTTTGGGTTTCATTTTTTTGCGCTAAAAGTTTCTATTTTGGGTTAAAAGAAATTATTTTTTGGATAAAAATTAGTTATTTATAACAAAAGTTTACATTTAAAAAAAATGTTATGACATCTCAAAAACATTATATTAGAAACTTAAAAACATGATTTTTTTACTGAATTTTGACAGCTCAAAATCATATTATTATTTATTATATTTGTATAAATAATATGTATAAATATATATATAATATCTTAAGAGGGCCATGGGGGTTTCGAGACACGACTGCCCACCCCCGCCCTCGGTTTGTTTAAACAAATAACCCCATACGAGATTGGGGTCCCATCAGTTTTTTTTGACATCCCTAAAGGGATTTATGAGTTATAAGGTAATACTTGAAATCTCTAGTCTAATAAGTGTTTATATATGTTGAAATCCTCTTCTTTCCATAAGGAATCTTATGGAGAGATAAACTTGGACTGTACATATATCTTACGATCCCTATTGCTTTGATGTTTGTAACACACTATAATTTGTTTCACCCATTTGTGGATATGTTAAACCACTTTCCGCTTATGGTGGTCATTATTGCAATGATTTGAAGTAGGGATGAGCAAAGGAACCGACCCGGCTGGAACCGGCCGGCTCGGGAACCAAACTTAGTGGAAAATAGGAACCGAACCAGACCGTCGGTTTTACCGGTTCCGGTTCCCACTGGTTCTTGCCGTCTCTTCAAATGTTGGAACCGGTCATCGAGAAATAGCAACATATGGTTCCGGTTTTTTCCGGTCCTACCGGTTCTCGGTTCCAAAAATCCACAAGAATATTGTCCCGGTCCCGGACCGACCGGTGCCATCAGGTTCCGGTTTTGGTACCGGTTCCGGCCGGTTCCCCGGTCCATATGCTCATCCTTAATTTAAAGTTTACGAAACTAATTCAAAGGCACGAAATCGTAAACATATGGTATTTAAATGTTTGTGTATGAATATATGAGGCATTTGGTCTAAAAATTAATGGTCAGATGTCTTTACCGAAAACATGGGTTAAGTTCTTTATGAACTTAGCACATATTGTTGTAAAATGTGTTATTGTCATTGGAAAATAATTTGAAGTGTGCTTCCACGTATGTTAAATGGTTGTAATACGGTGTAATAGAAATAAATGAAAGTAGTAGGTGCTATACTACACAAATAAATGTAAATATGTTGCTATTTCTCCATTTAGTTCCGCTTACAACATTTTTTTTTACTTTTTTTTATGTATATGTGGAAATATTCCTTCCAAATTGACAAGTTCTCTTTAGTTTAAGGGCCATATTGTCTTTCTAGCAATTCATGTGTAACATCCCAAAATTCAAGACCAAAAATTTCATTTTTAAATAAGTTATTACAAAACCAATTAGTATAGTAACCTCCATAATAACACCCCATGTCAAAACCAAAGTGTAAATAATCAAAACATATTAACATAAAACATTATCAGAGTGTAATCCCAATGATCTCATGTGCGGAAAACATAGTGTGATGCGCTGCGATCAAGTCGACTCATTTCCTTTGAAAACGAGTACCTGAAACCAAAACTGTAAACCGTAAGCACGAAGCTTAGTGAGTTCCCCCATCATACCTCATATCATAACAAACATACTGCCGGGCAATTATGGGGTGTCCGACCTACCCATGTCAAACAATTCTGGGGTGCTTAACCTACCCTGCCAGGCAATTCTGGGGTGCCTGACCTACCCATGTCAAGCAATTCCGAGGTGCTTGACCTACCCTGCCAGGCAATTCTAGGGTGCCTGACCTACCCTCCGGTTTACCTCAACCGGCTACGGGGACTATTTCACCCCTACCACTACCACATAACAACATAACAAAAACATAGTGTCAGACATATCTGGGGTGCCCGACCTATCCTTCGATCCTAACGACTGTAACACGGGGACTACTCCCCTCCTACTACCACTATCACATAACAACAAATCATGCTAGCACATCAAACCACTTCTACTGGAAGGTAACTCACCTCACACTGCTGAAGTCCCGCAGACGAAACCCTGGCTGCTGGATGGCAGATTCCCGAACTGTCAACATCAAAATAACACCCAATTAATAATTGGATCCCAACACATATCTATAAGTCCATGCTTGGGGTAAAATACTGTTTTACCCCTATCTTAGCTTGATTCAAGCCCAAGGCCCAATCCAAAGGCCCAAAAGTCAACTATGAGTCAAAGCCCAACATATGGCCTAATTTTCCAAATTGGGCCCAAACCTTTACATGGTCTTATTCTAAGGCCCAACTATTTAGTCCAGTCCAAACATTTGGCATTTCTCATAAAGGCCCAATTATGGCCTATCTGTGGCCTAATTTTCCAAATTGGGCCCGAACCTCACATGGGCCTTACCCTAAATCCCATCCATAAATTCTTAGTCCATATGATTGTTCTTGGATGACCCATCAATAGCCCAATCACCAAAACCCAATAGAAAGGCCCAACTTAAGGCCCAAGTGAAATTAGGGTTCACATAAAATGACGATTAGGGTTAAGTCTTTCTCACTTAACCCATTAAGGACTTAATCCATTAAGTCCATCCCTCTACTAGACAAATCATATGGTGTGGTCGGGCTTAATACATAATCCAATTCCAATGGCCCAAAATGCGGGTCCCGATAAGTCCAAGCCAATCATAGTCCAATACGCCCAAAACTAAGTCTTTAGATCAATTAGGGTTTTATTAGGCCCACTAGGGTTTTACTAGGCCCACTAGGGTTTCATAAGTTGGGCACCTCCCACTACCACCTCGGGTAGTGGTGGTCAATGGCGGCTCACGGCGGCGGCCACCACCTCACGGTGGTGGTTATGGTTCTACCGCCATTTTTTCCAAGAATCCCAAATGAGTCAAAACACAAACAAGGCACACCGCCACCCAACACGGCGGTTGGTGGCGGCAGGAGGCGGCAGCCACCACCTCACGGTGGTGGTTATGAGTTTCTTTTCATTATTTCATCATCGATTACAATATACAACAACAAATCCCAAAATAAACACACACACAAATAGATAAACACACTCACACAACCACCCTTGTGGTGGCCGGCGGTGACACATTGTCACAACTAGGAATTCTGATGCTTTGTAAACAATTAACAAGGATAACATTGTAACTAAAACTTGAAAGCATGTATGATGCTTATTCAATGACAACAAAATTCCATTAAACACTCTATACAAACACTCATATAGTCAACAAAAGGTTGGAAACCCTAGAAATCTCGGTTTAAGTCCAATATGGACTAGGATTTCTTTATTGGGCCTAATGGGCCAATAAACTTCCAACTTGCCTATTTTAAGCTTAGAACTCTTAAATGAGCTCTCATTGGACCCACTCTCATGAGACTTAAACCTTTTTGGGCCTTATAAGTCTAAAATGGACTAGTTTATCTTTAATGGGCCTTATTGGGCCATAACAAATCCAATGAGCCTAATGGGCCATAAATCAATTCTTTTATACAAAAATTGGGCCGTGAGCTACCCTAAGGGCCCAATGAGCCGTAAGTTTTCCTTATGGGCCTCATGAACTCGAGCCAAGGCAAGAATGGGCCAAACTGATTCCTTTCTCCTTCCTTAGCCCATTTCGGCCCAAGCATAAAAATAAAAAAAAACAATAAAAGAAGAGATTAAGGGGAGAGTTGACAGGAGTGTCACCTCCACATTATCCCCCATGTAACCATGCAAATATCACATACATCCATGCACCTATCACCTCACCCTCTCTCTTCTCCCTCCTTTCTTCTTGTTTCGGCCGAAGACACACCACACACACACAATACACAAAAAAAATTCTCTCCATTTCTCTCTAAGGCCATCTCCTTCCTTCCTTCAAGGAATTCTCGAAAATTTGGCTTGGATTCAAGAGTGTTCATCAAGTGTTGTCAATCTTTGGTAAGTCTTTACACATCCAAGCTTCATAACTTCACTCTCTTGTTAGATCATTCCTTTAAACAAAGTTTTTGGTGTTTATACTCTTAGAAATCTTCTTGGGTTCGAGATCTACTCAAGGAAGTTGCTAGGGGCAAAAATCACTTCATCTTTCCATCTCTCTCTTCAAAACCGAACCCACAAACCCAAGGTGAGTTCATACCCCTCTATTTTC